GTGCTGGGGAGGCTCCGGCTTGGTAGCGAGAGCTTGTAGGTTGAAGTTAGGATGGATTTTCGGAGGAAGAGCATGCGGAGGATTTTTTTTTTTCTTTGGCATCATTGCCCTATGTGCTAACCCTGCTACATACTCAGTTTTATTATTTTTTTCAAGCCAGTCCCGGGTGCTCTTGAAATCCATGTGGTTGGTGTCTTCTAGCTGAGAGCTGTGCCAGCAGCAAGGTTGCGACTGTAAATCCCTGCAGTCAATAAAAAGCCGGCTAAAATCTGTAGGAAGGGCCCATTCCCTACCAAATGCAGAAAGGAACGTTTAGTGGACATGCTAGTTATAATGAGATGTCTGAATCCCACGAACATTACCGTGTGCTTTGGGAGGGACCTGTCTCATTACTTAAAATACCAGCCTGCTCTGGATCGCAGGGACTGGATGCTGGAGCCAGGTGCATGGGTAGCTCTGTTTTGGATGGAGGGAGAAATACGCATGAGGGATTGCATAAGAAAAAGATGCAAAAGTTGGCTGATCATAGGCCAGGTGAGTCTTTCCCTGGGCACCAAAATAAGATTGTGTCCTGCAAGGGCAGTGGTAGCCAAAATGGATACTCAAATGCCTGCCCTGATGAACTGTCAGTAATAAGCTTAGATTTTCCCTCTGAAATTTTTAGCTTCATTTCACAGGTAATAGCATCCAGCTGCATAACCAGAGAATGAAGTAATTAAAACCCGTGCTGTCATTTTCAAGTTGCGGCAGGGTTAAGGTTCAGGCAGGCTGCTGTGACAATGTGCCGTGAACCTCAGTGGTGTTTAGTATAGTTGTATATGTATGCTAAACCCTTGTCCTAATTAGTACACACTTGCTAATATTTCAGCTGTTCCTTACAGGGAATTGGCCTGTGTGGAACAGGTTGCTGAAGCAGGGCCTTCATTGCAGATTTTGAAAGATCATGAACATGCATGGTTTGCAGATGGTCGTCTGAGAAGGCTTCACAGCAGCGTGACTTGTCGTGCTCATGTAGCTGCCTTGGCTTGTCCTGGAAGCTGGCTGGTGTGTTTTGTTGTGACTTAGTGTTGTGGAGATTTGGAAGATGTCCATGACAAAACCTCTGTTTGCTTAATTGCAAATGCAGGTATTGCGTTACACTAGGAAAGTCAAAGGTGTTAAAAAACTTGATTAATTTTTAGTGGGATAAAGAGATACGCTGAGGTGTAGTAGCTTAATTTTCCCGCTTTTCAAGGTAGGAGAATGTTGTTAGGACTTAATCTCTTCCCCACGTTGTATTGCACAACAGCTCATGTGTTACTTCAAGCGACTCTTGTGAACTCTAGGCTCTGTTAGGTCACACTTTACGCTGTGTTCAGTGTGACTAATGCTTTTATAGAGAGGGGAAGTAAGGTGATCCTGGTGATATAGGTTTGATAGTTTACTGAATAAAGCAAAGGACTTGCAGTTTCTCACCACAGACTTTGTATAAGGCTTTGTAGAAATCTCACCTTATTTCCTTTTCAGATTGGCGATGATGAACAAGGTTACGACCTGGACTTGTTCTGCATACCTAAACATTATGCAGATGATTTGGAAAAAGTCTATATTCCTCATGGGCTCATCATGGACAGGTTTGTGTGACTTCAGACAGTACACTGCTCCAGATGATTCCAGGGCGCTGGAATAAATGGTCTTCCAGTGATACTTTTGCAGCCTGGTGACTGTCTAAACAGATTACATTTAATTAGAGACTAAGAAGTACAAGTGCTAATTAACTCTTCCTTTAGCTTCTAAGAGTTTGTACGTTTGCAGTTACACTATTGTTTGCAAATTTATTGTAATTCTTAAGTGAATTTTGTGGTACATAGCAATCTACAACCTACTTTCCAGTGTTTCTTGCATGTTTTACCTTCTTAAAACCTAATTACAAGACTTATTTGTTGTGCCATTGAGAACAGTTGTAGTCTTTTGAATTTCTGTAGGATATTAATAAAAGTGAATTATTAAACATATTGTCTTAGACTTTCCCATGTTTGTATGGTAGGTAAGTAATATCCAATGTTCTGCTACCTCCTGGGAAAGACATTAGCCTCTGCAAATGTCAGTCTGTCACTCCTGTACTTGCTGAAATCTGTGCTGTGCTGTGGAAGTTTTATCTCGTGTGATCAGAAATGGGTGCATGGCCTATAAGGCATTTTTGGTTTGCTTTGTGTTTGATAGTTGCTAATTGACTCCTTTAAAAAATAAACAAATTCAGTGAAGCCATTGTTGGAGACACTCAACCATTTAAGAATGGTGCTGAATGCATCTTCCTGGAGATCCTGCGAATAGGGTTGGATCTAGGTTCTGCATGGTCCTATCTGATTAGATATAATAAGCATACTTATAAAGTATTTTTTTTTTAATATGGAAAAAAATTTTGCACTGGAAGCCCATATAGAGGAAGCAGTTGGACAAAGTGCATGTCATTAAGTAGTTGATGTCAAGTTAGTGTTAGTAGGCTTTCCCTGCGAAACCTGCTGGCAGCTGGCGCACAAGAAATACATACTATGCTTTCTAAAAGAAATTGTAAGATAAATTTAGAAACAATGACTTCAGAAAAATGGTGCAGTGTTCTCTTACTCTGCTTTGTTGGTATTGTATTTGCAGTTAGGACAAATTTCTGGCATTCTAGCTTGGCAAATAAACATAAGCTCTTGAGTTTACAGTTTAAGAATTTTCCAGCTCCTCAGTGAGGGCTGCTGCCTGTTTAGTTGCATTGGCTTACGTTGCTCATTGCATGGAAGCTGTACTTATTTTGGAAGGAGAAAACACCTTTGTGTCACCTATCTGACAGTGAAACAGCTTCAGGATGTTAAGGTTTGCTTTGGCTGAGTGTGACGTATGCAAACAAAGGCATTTGGCAGTGCTACTGTTAGAATAACCTTGAAAAGCCAAACTTTGTTGACCAATAACATGTAAAAGTGACTGAAGTGGTAGGCAAATATTTCTGAGCAAAATGTGTTTCCAAGTTTGATGTGTGTGTTTACTACTATTAGCAGTATAAAAAGCTGCTGCTCTGGTAAGCAAATGAAATGTGTTCTGACAGCTAACTCTTTCTTGATTTTGTGTAGGACGGAGAGACTGGCACGAGAAATTATGAAGGGCATGGGAGGACACCACATTGTAGCACTGTGTGTACTCAAGGGCGGCTATAAATTTTTTGCTGATTTATTAGACTACATCAAAGCACTGAACAGAAACAGTGACAAGTCAATTCCCATGACTGTCGACTTTATTAGGTTGAAGAGTTACTGTGTAAGTATCTCTGCAGTACTGTGCAAGTTTTATACAACTTTCACTAACTTCAAATTAACAGAAGTGATAATACTGTTACTTCTAGAATGTGCTAATATTAAATAATTGGGGGAATTCAGACTCACAACCTAATTTACTCTTTCTCTACCTTATTACATAATCTCTTTTCTTTTTAAACTTTAATATCTCCACAGCCCAGTGAAATCCTTATGTGGAGCCAAGAGACCCTTTCCTTGCTTGTCCTTTGCTTGTTATTTTTCTCTGCCCATTACTCCATTTCTAAAGCTGTAGCTCTAGAATAATACTGAGGATTCTCCTGCAACTATGGTTATAGAAGTTTAATTCTAGGGATTTTCTCTGGCTTAGACATGATTCATTGAAGAGGAAGACTTGAAAGCTGAAAAAATGGTTATACCTAAGTTTCCTCTCTCATCTTTTGTTTGGCTTAAACAAACAATGAACAAAATCAGTTGTATTTGGCCTTAAGGAAATAGTAGATTCACAAACCTAGATTTATGATTAATGGCTGCTGAATATGGCACAACCTTTTCAAGACTAGTTGTAGGTTGCCTTGGGTTTACATTGTTGGAAAATAGTTTATTTTCAGTCTGAAAGCAAGGATTTAACTTAATAGAGAAATTGAACATTCTGTAACGTGAGGTAATGTGTAAGTGTTATAGAAGGAAGCACGAGATTAGGTTGTGCAGGTCAAAGGAAGAAGCAGTTATATGTTAGTACTGTATGCTTCCTGACTTATTGACAGCCTAGCCTCATGGTTTCAGGATGGTGTTTATGATTTCTTCATAAGACCATCTATAGCATAGAAATAATTAAATTCTTGGGTTTCATTTTAGTGTGTTTGAATAGATTGTTTAGTAAGGTTATGCTGTTAGTTCTGTCTCAGCAACTCTGCATTTAAGTCAGCAGTATGGGCTACTTGTTGCAATTGTAAACAAGTGCCTATGACAGTAGAAAAAAACCCAGAGATTACTAAATTGGAAAATGAACTTCATCCTTCATTTCATTAAACTGTGAAACCACGGATGGAGTTATTTGCAAATTTAGTTTGGACTGTCCAAGAACTTTGTAAATTCATGATTGCTGTTGCGGGATCCGTTAACACTTCACGGTGGAGCCCAGAACTGTGGGGGACTTTGGTCAAGCCTGTCTGCAGGACGAGCAGCCCTGGCTGCCCCAGGCACACACACAGCTGGCTGCCCAGGGGTTACCTGGAAACCACATTCACTGAACACGAGGCAGTAATTTAGCTATGCTCTTTAGTGAGAAGGCAAAGCAGGGCAGAAAGTTTCATGCCAGCCTTTGCAGTATCTCACAAGGTACTCTCTGTGCTTGGGCACTGTATTTACATCAATGGGTGAGAGCTCTTTGACACCCTTTCTTTCTACTCCCCCTGAAAGATTCAGGTTCCTGCAGCCTGTCCACTTAACCACGAAGCTACCATGTGCCCACATATTCTGCCTGTAAAAGCCACAACAGAAAGCCGAATGTCTATTACAGAATAATGTGTTAAAGAATAGGAAATTATGAGTCCCACCTTTTTTTGGTTGAGGAAATTGTTCATCTTTCGTTTTCTTGAAGGCTCCAAATAACTTACTTGAATTGTTCAAAAACCAGTATAAAGACTACACCCTTTTAGTCTCTGTGCTTTTTGACTAACTTGGAAAAAAACTATTGGAGAAGTGGTTTGAAACACCTCAAAAAACCTTTCTGTTACAAAGCAAGTCTGCCTTATTATGTGCTTTCTTTCCTCATACTGGTATGTTAGCTACACTTTGCTCCATTTCTTTACTACAGCTGCTTTTGTTTATTTCTCCCCAGAACTCCAGTGTCTTAATATTAATAGGGGAGTGAGTAGCAAAATATGTTTTATGGAACTGAAAAGCCTGGTTTTGTATTAAAAATGATTAGATTAAGAGAAAAGCAGAAAAATTAGAAAGCTATCTAAGCAGAATGTTTTCTTTGAGATGTTTGCTTCGGGGTTTTTGGTTTTGTTGACCAGTTCTAAAAAAGAATCTTTTCTTGCTCTGGATGAGTGAGGAGCTTCTGTTACCTGATGCCTCCACCACAGTATTTATGAGTATTTAATTTCTGAGGACTCTGAGGTGATTATGAATATCCAGGCTTACATCCTTTGGATTGCATAACTTGATAGCCTAACATGAACATGTATGTAACAGATTCTCTAGATCTTCCTGCATTATTAGTATCAGAATGCTAAATCTGCTCTGCAGTATTTACCTGTGCTTTATTAGGTGGAGGGATCTGCATTTAGTGATGTGAAAACCATCACAAACTGCAATGGAGAGTTGAAAGTGAAGCTAGCTCCCTTGTCTTTGGATGCGGTTACTAGATCATGCTGCCTGCCTTTACAGCCTGGACAAAAGATGTTAAAAATACCCTGGTCGCATAAACAGAGCAGCTGAACTTGTCTAATGGTTCTGAAATTGATGTAATTAGTTTCTATTCTTGTTTCAAGCCTATCATTTAATATTTACAAGCATATGGTGTGGTTGTTGGCTTTTTTGTTGTTGTTGCAATGCAAAGTTCATATTGTTCTGCACCCAAAAATAATTCTGTTAAGAATACTGACATGATCAAGCTGTGATTAAACTTTGCTCATAACTCCAGCTTTCCAAGTCCTTACAGATGAATTTTAATGATCTGGCAAGCTGTTAAGAAATGGAAAGACAGTGTTTGTGAACAGACTCAGATCTCAGTATTCTTGACAAGTGGTTTATTTTGTTTGTGCTGCAAGAAGAATGGTTTTCCACCAGCCTCCTGCATTTAAACTTGGCAAAGAGCAAGCATTGCTTATGTAGCCGTGAAGGGCAGCCAAAAGACAATAGGTATGTTGCACTGTCACTTGGGAAAATGGGGGTTGTCAGTGGAGTCAACTCTGGTTAGGCTGGTCATGGCAGTACTCTGAAAGATCTCTGTTAATCAAGCCTTATAGCAAATGTAAGGAATGTAAAATGCCTTTTAAAAAGGTGATCTTGAGTCCCTTGAGTCAGGAGTTACGTTCTTGCAAAGCATGATTGTTTTCCAGCAGTGACAATGGGGAGGTAGTGAAAACGGATCTAAACAGTAAAACTCTTATGTGTTAAACCACAAAGCATTAAAGTCTTACCAGTGCTGAAGTCAGAAATAATGCTCCTGAAGATAATTAAAACATTGCTTAATTATTAAACGAAGTTCTTTCCAATGGAAATCTGGTTACAGCTAGTATCAGAAATTCTTTAACTGTTCTTTATGCTTTAATTGCTCAGGAACTCAGTCCCAGCATAAGAATGCAGGTTTATATGCCAATGTAGATGGATGCTTTGCATTGAAAATTCTAGCAATTTGCATGAGTTTTGGTGGGAAGGAGAAGGAAAGTTTCTGTAGGGTAGATTGTTTTTTTTTTCTGCTGATCATCATACTGGAATATGCATAATCCAGAGGTTTACAGTAACCTCCTGTTCTGTGGTGTTCTTGTTTGAATATAGTGTGTTGCTTTGTAGCCAAACAGATCATCAAAATCAGGAACCTGATCTTATGCGTATACCAAGGTGTGTGAGTCTGACATCGATGCACATAGTTTTGATGGAACAAATACCTATAATGTCTTCCTCCATCAGTGTTTTGTCAGGAGTGATTTTTTTTGTATCCTTTCATGGAAGGAGGATGGAATCCCTATTAGTGTAGGAATAAATAAGAGAGAATCCTGTAACATAAACAAGGAGAAACTTAAAGGATCCATAGTTTAAGATAATTTTGAGATGGAGTGAACAGAGGAAATGTCCTTTAGCTTTATGAATACAGGGCTTAGCTCCCATTTTTGTGGTTGATGTAAGCCAGTATCTCAGGCATTCAGTAGCAGTGTGTATGTCTGCTGGGTCATGCAGCAATCATTTTGAACATCTTTGGATTTGGACTTTTTTAAAAAAACACAGTGACATTTTAGTTCTTGTTTGCACTGTTACAGAAATGCTGGAACAGTTGACTATCAAAAATGAGTGTTCCTTAGAGTAATGAAACATAGCACTTCAGTGTAATTTCAGTGGTATAACTCAAAACTGATTTCTTCAAAACACGTGGGGTAAAACTGAAAAGATACTTTTTCTAATAATTTTTTTCCATGTTATATCATAGGAATCCTAAAAGGAAATTATCTGTTAGTCTTACCATCTGCTTTTACGTGCCTAGAGCTCTTAACACTTCTTTATCCTAGACTGTTGACACCACTGTGCAAAGGATTTTAATATGTCTTCTCTTTACTATCACCAGTGTTATTTACTGTGGACTTGGAGTGTGCCTCTTTAAATAATTTTTCCCTTTTTTTGTGATAATGTTTTAAATTTTTGCCTACAACTCATATAGCACAAATATCTATGTACATGCTGCTGTGGAAACAGGAAGCTGTTCGTGGCTGTTCTTTCCTTGCCCTTGTGGTCCCCTCTCCATGGCATCTGTCATTTTGGGGTTTTGGGAAGCTACTTAAGTTTCTCTTGAGTGTCTGCATAGTTGTGCAGCATGCTTGGGCTTTGAGGTGTGGTAGCAAAATAAGCCTATTTTTCTAAAAAGAAGGTGTGCATTAAGGAGCTACCAGAATAAAGTTTGATAAGCAATATTAACGTTAACCGAAATGATTAACTTGTAGGATAATGTCATCATCTAAGTAGTACAATAATAAGCGTCTGACATCTCATATGAACTGTGAGACACTGTCAAGGTTTAAAGTGAGTTGAAAGACTTCAAATAAACTGCTGTGATCCTTGAGGCACTCCTGGCACCTGCTTTTAACTTCTGTATATAACAGTTCATTGACATTTGTATCACAGTTTAGTTTTACTGAACAAGATGTTGTGTTGTAGTTATGGTGTACCTATGCTGCTGTTCAATTACTGTAAGAAATAATTTGATTTGTTACCAATATTGGCCAAAAACTAGGCAAAAATAAATTGCCAGAGAATGTAAGAAACATTTTTGTACCTTGTTTTTCTAAATGTTAATCTGTGCCTTGTTTGCTGGCTGTTCTTATTATTGTTATGATTGCTTATTGTTACTCAGAGAGTAAGACTTCCTAAAGCATTAAAGTTTAAAATGTAAATTACCAGCTATATAGCAACAGGCAGCTTGGAAACTGAAATGTTTTTGCCTTATTTCCATATCTGTGGGGAATGCATAGCAAATCATGTATTTTTAGATACACATCTATCTATAATGGTCACAGATGAGAGACGGTGCCTGCGTTTATGCAGATCTCCTGTCAAACAATCTTTAATCTAAAATACCACCTTTGAATGTGATCACTTGTAATTTCTTAGTAAATAAAGAGGCAGCAGTGGTGCTGTGTTTCTGAAAGTATTAATGTTCACTGGTTTGATGCTTACTGGAAGAAAAAATTGTTTTAATTCCGGTAATACTAATGCTCACCTTCCCCTTCCTTAGAATGACCAGTCAACTGGAGATATAAAAGTCATTGGTGGAGATGACCTCTCGACCTTGACTGGAAAGGTACGTCTCTCTGTGTGTTCAAAACTAAACCCCACAGAACCACTAAGGAGTACCTGCGTGGTTTTAAGGCTGCGTTTTCAGTGTGTGAAAGTTACACAGTTTTAAAAAATGAAAATTGAGATGTTATTTAAATATTTGCCACTGTATACTAGGATAGTGTTTAAGCCCAACCAAATCTGTCAGTTTAGTCTGAACTTAACAAAAAAACTTATTTCATGTCTTCAGTATCCACAGAGTTTTAAGAGACTTGCTTTTCTTCAGTGCCTGCGAAGAGCAATCTTGTGTGGGTTGTTGTCTGCAGACTGCCTTTGAAAGAAAGCAGCATTATTTACTTGCTGCATTGTTTCAATAAAATAGTGATGGGAATTTATACTGTTGAGACGTGTAACGTGCAGCCCAGGTGAGGAACAGAGGTTCCTGTTACAGGCAGTGAGGAGAGAAGGAAATGGGAGAATGTAAATTGGGAATCTGCTTTTCTCCAGTGACTATGGAGATCACTGAACCAGGTGTCTGGGGTTAAAGCATCGGTGGCTCCTGCTCTGCCAGAACACGTTGCTGTCCCCTTCTCCTTAAACATACGGGATCTTAAGGCGTGTAGGTCACAGTTCAACATAAAGGATGTGTAGGTGTGACAGAATGGTTCGTGTCTCTGTAGTATGAAACTCTCCTTTAGAAGAATACGAATTGTGTAGGCTCTGGTTTGATCTCTTCTGCGTAAAGCTAGAATTCCCAAAGTCTAAATAATTTAAACACCACTTTGTACTCAGCATGAGATGTGGAGGAGAATCCGATGGCCAGCTAATTGTTATCAGAGCATCAGAAATGGTAGCTACATAGAATTTGCTATTACTTCTATAAAAATACAGAAATAGTGGTACAAATATTTAATGGCAATGAAAATTATTAAGTTATGGAGATTCATATGTACAAAAAATTGCATATTCTTTAGATATTAATGGATTTTTCTTTCTTTCTTTTTTTTTCTAATGATTCTTCCCACCAGAATGTTTTGATCGTAGAAGTAAGTATATGTTTCACTTTGAAGTTCTATTGTGTAATGGACTGGTAAAACAGTTCTTAAAGAAGTTGTTCTTAAGCCAGAAAATCTACAGTTTCTGATTTCAGGACTTCCAGCATCTTGATTCCAGGCCTGAATTTTGCAACTGGGCTCTGAATATGAAATTATTTGTATTTTGAATTCTCAAATTGCATTCAACTTCTAAATTTAACAAGGAAAATATCCATATAAAATTGCATGCATTTGCTTTCAGTTTTCTGGGATTATGTCAACTCTGAAATGTCATATTTTGCTTTGGTTTTGTTGTTTTGTTTTGGTTTTTTTTTTTATCTCAAAAAGTAGCCTGGACAAGTTAGTAAGCGTATTATTGTTCTGGGTTTATAACAGTGAGCTAGGAAATTAAACTGCAGGGGTAGAAAGAGGTTCCTGGCAGGAATACCCTAAAATATATAAAAAACAGATCTAACCCAAATGTCACTGTGTGTCATTTGTTTAGAGAATAGTGACACAGAGAATGCTAAATCTTAATGAGCATTTTGTAATTGCTAAATTCCCATGCCTCTGTCTCGTTGTGGTTCTTTGGATGGTGCTGGGTACAATACACCTCAGTTTGATTTCCTGGTAGGTACTGTTGCTTAATTCCTGCTTTCATACCTCCTCCTTGATGGACAGTGTTCCTTATGCTCAGTAAGCATTGCTTTGGGGAAGGATGTTCTTGAGTAAGATTTGCCAGTTTCAGGATAGGAGAGCAGCAGCAGTAGATGGGAAAAATGAACGTGCAATCTAATAATGTCTTACAGCTCCAGATAGTGGATATGGCTTGTTTGTAAGCAAAGCAAGCTATGGCAACTGACTCAGTAATCAAAGGGAAGGATGTTTCCTCTCATAAAATATGTTTTTCATGTATGTGGGTTTGTTTGTTGGTTTAAATTGAGAAGGTTATATTATTCCACAGGAAGCACATTCAGATCCAAAACTCCTACCACAATAATATGTATATAGCAGTCATCTATGTCACCAGTGCTGTCCTTGGAAGTATATTCTGCTTCAGATAGGCAGATGCATTTAATTATGTATCTGCTCCATTTCAGATGAATGTATGCCATTAAAGTCCCAGACAGCTAACTGGGTTAGTTTCCCATTTGTTTAGTGAATCATCTATCCACTGGCTTGTCTTCTACACTGTCAAGTATGAACCTTTGTACCAATCACCGTTTTAACTGTCAGATGATAAAAATACACGTTAATTGGATTGTATGTAAGCATTTATTGTTTATATCTTGTGCATGAGAGCACTAGGCTTTCCTGTGCATCATCCCTTCAATTTGCACAAAAACCTGGACAAAATGGAGGTTCACCTCCAATAAACAGAAAATCACACAATACAGAATCTGTAATAGGTTCTATTATTATTTTAGTGTATGGAAGTAGCTACTTCCATTTATTCATCAACTTTTATTTTTATCTGTATGTTTTTAACTTTTCTTGAGTTTATAATCATGATTAAAAGCATTAAGTGTGAAAGATGATACTGCTGATGATTTTTGTTTAATTTTTATTTTAATTTGGAGTCATGGGAAAATAAGCTGAAACCAGGACATTGCTGCTTCTGCCTACCTCTTTCACTTGTCTACCTCTTTCACTTCAAATAGACTTGATTTCAGGCCAGGGTAAGGGCCATCTCTCTGAATATCATGTGATTATTTCAGGACAAATGAGGAATCCGTTTGTGATGTTTCAGTTGTAAACCATATATTCTTTTTTTTTCTGCTTACGTGTGCAGTGGATGGGTTTAAAATAATGTGTCAAAATTCATTTTAGTGTGTTTGAGTCTAGACTTTAGAACTGCACCCAGATATTCTCAGTGCAATTCTTCAGCTGTTTCTTAGTTCTGTAATGTAAATTATGCTCCTTTTTTTCTTTTGCACTAATGGGTTGTTCTGCCTATTTGCCCTGGTTACATTTCTTTGTTGTATACATCTGTCTCTGTAACTGAGCTCAGCAGCAAGACTAATGTTGCTCTTACAATATTAAAATCAAACATTGTTTGTCTAATAGCTGCAAGGGAGCACAAGCCATAAAATCTCCACAAGGAGCCAGGAAGGTCAGCGTTCAGTAACTGCTTTCAAAGTCATAAGTTATCCACAACAATTAAGACCTATTGTTAATGTGCATGATCACTTTATTGAGCATAGTTGTGTAAGCACAACACTGTGTTATGTGTCACCTGAACTTGCTTACAGACAGTATTTTCACAAATTTTCATGCTGTTGCAGATGAGCAATTTCTGAAACTTGAAAATGCTACTCTGATATGTTCAATATTTTTTCTTACGTGAGGTTGTTTGGTTTTTTTTTCAGGATATAATTGATACTGGTAAAACAATGAAAACATTGCTGTCTCTACTTAAGCAATACAATCCCAAGATGGTGAAAGTAGCCAGGTAAATTTTTAGTTATTATAATTTGTGCTGTATTTCACAGTAAAAATGACATACAGTGTTTAAAAAAAAAAAAAAAAAAGGTGTAGAATAGATTTCCTTGGAAGAGAAGCAGGAGGGAACATTCTGCAAGAATCATAGGAGTCATATATGGTGCAATCTGTTGGAGTTTAGTATTTGTTTAATCTCCAAAACCAGAAACACTATTCTTTCCATTCTTACTGCTGGAAGAATTCGAGTGCTTCAGAAGGGAATAACTTGTGCAGGCCTGGTGTGTGTCTTGCCATATGGTAGACTGGGGGTTTACCACTGGAGTCCAAGTTAGGTTTAGAAGTATATGGAAGGATTTAAATCTTTTGGGCTCTCAAGTTGGTAGAGGTATTTCAATGCAAATTTGGTTCATAAATTTAAACTTTTACTAGAGAAGGGGATTAAAAAAAAAAAATCTGTTGTCACTTATGCATATGTAGTTGTTTCCAAACATGGTTGTTTCTGCTTGTGCTATCTGTAACTTCAGGACACTGCAGTGGTGTACCTGTGCAATGGAGACCTTTCTTCAGTTTCCCTTCTTTAATTGCAGAATTAAATTAGTTTGCATGCTAACATTGTTGTTTGTGTAGCATGCAAAGTGGAGCTGAGCTTTAGAGGTCATTCTGTGAGAGTTACTCAGCCATATGCTCTTCCAGGCTTTTCTACTTAGTACATCTTCAATCAATTAGTTTCAAAATACTTCATAATTAAATAACTTAGAACTAACAAGAAATGTTGAGGATAATAGTATATTATTAACCAGTATCAGCATTCTTCCTGCTTTTTAAATTAAATCTTTTGCACTGCTATGCTGTGGTTGTGTATTTTACAATAAAAGCATAATGATTGCTGGGGATTAGAGAGAAATCAGAGCTGTGTGTAATATTTAATCAGTTGTGTTGCCATAACAATGTCAAAGCAGTTGTTAGATGTATGAGAACAGCTCTTCTTGCTGATAATCTGGAGGTGACCTGCCAAAGGTGAGGTTGTTGAAGATTTCTCCCTGGCTGGATTAAGTGTGCCAAGTTTTTAAATACTTGTCACTGAATAGTGCCCTAACACTGCAGTGTGCATCATGAATATAGTATGGTATGAGGCAAGTCCAGTTTCCTACTGTTTAAACCTGTTGCAGTAATTTGGACCTGGCAAAGACCTGGGTGGGTAAAAACGATCATTGTAGTTCATCTTAAGCCTTCCCTTCCCATCCCTTCCTTTCCCTTCCCATGATTTTGGGGTTCCTTTGCTCAAATCCTACACCAATTCTTAAAACCTAAGCCTCACGACTAGAAGTTTCAGAAACTGTCTAAAATGGAAACTGTGACTCTGAGAAATGAAGACCTACCTTCGGGGGTGATCCAGGAGGGAAGGAAGGTCTGTGCTTAATGCGCAGGGTTATGCTGACCTCTGTCTTTACATTCAGCCACTGACCAGCTTTTATTTTCCTCCCAAAGTCTTAAAGACAGACAAATATCAGGCCTGTGGGGTTGTGTTCTAAGAGGTAGAAGTGCTCAATTGACTGAGTGAATCAAATTCATTGATCACTCTACTTCAATACCCTCAACTTCTTATGTCCATGCTTTTTACACCACTGACTATTAATTCTGGAAATTCTCCTATCCTCTTTCTTGCAGAGCTGTTAGTTATCAATTAGGCTGTGAATGATTCATGGTTCTAGGAAGTTTTGATTTTGTCAGTGTGGTCAGCTGTGCCTGCAAATTAAATAATACTTTAAACTATTTAAGTAAAAAGAATTCGAGTGTAGTGAAGCTTGCAGCTATTTAGGCCAAATTCAGCTTGTCTGTCATCAAAACAGTCTTTTGTATTTCTACTCAGTCCTTCCATGTTTCAGTTTTATATTGGTTTTATTTGACAGTTTGTTGGTAAAGAGAACTCCTCGAAGTGTGGGATATCGGCCAGACTGTAAGTCACTTTTTGACAACCATTATTAATTTTTAAAAGTATGTCAGTGTATTGTGTACTCTTTGGTCAGAGTCCAGGGATGTTCCAAATTAGTTTTCACTAATTATTCTTGATAGATTTTGCTCTTATTTAGGGAAGTTAAATACTTGGAATGCATTTTGAAAGAGTTAATCTGGGTTTGGTCTGATCCTTTTTATTCTTAACTTTCTGTAACATTTTACTCTATGAAAAGCAAACTTTGATATTTTGATCCAGGTTACATCCTTTTTCTGTGTAGATTCTCCCAGCTTGCATGTAGTCAAATGCTTTGATCATGAAAATCTGCTGGATTCACCCTTGACACTTCTAGGGAGTGATTTGGGTGCCTAAACCTAGCCACCTCATGCTGTTCGGATGTCCCCAGGAATGCAGGAGGACCACACAGGGCAGTGGGTCTGATAAAACCTGGCAGTGATAAGATGCCTAAGTTGGCATGAAACCAGATATATCAAGGCATCTGAATTACTCCCTTGTCTGTCCCAAGACCATAAAGGAAGGAGTGGCATCCACAGCAGGCAGTGGTACCACAGTGACAGCCCAGCCTGCCTTGGGAAGGGCTCTGTGTTTTGACCCTGTTATAGAGGCTAAATTCCTTTAATCTGAGGCCATGTGCCTTCACCATGGAAGTGGAGTGAATGTAGCAGCAGAATCTGATGCTGTTCCTTCTCATTTCCAAGGCTGTGCCATATTCTGGAGTTGAAGTTTCTTAGTGCCTTGAAGCTCAGTGGAGGTGTTCTCAGTCAAGGATGCCCCTCATTCCTGAGATCTTATTATAGGCTTAGCTGGGTTAATGGTTGGCCTTCTGAGCATCTTGCAGCAGATGACTTGTTTTGCCATCTGTCCACAGACAACAACCTGTTCAGTGCAGGACACATGAATGCTGAAAGAAGAGACAAAGCTGTAATGGCTGGGCTTCCATTTTACCCCTGTTGTGAGGTCACGTAGATGCTCAACATCACCTTAATTTTTCCAAAACCACACACAACCTTTTTGTTGAGTTATACAAGTTATCTCCCTGTTTTCCATACAGACCCTCATTGCAGCCAGGGACAGAAAAATTACACAGTTTTCCTGTGCTTGAAAGCCTTTCATTTTAGCATGATGGGAGAAAGCCATTTGAGAATTTTAGATTTAATATAATTTTTTTTTGGTTACAGTGTGTGTGGACAGGTTGAACTGATACTGCCTGACCACCCACAAACTGTCCTGCTCTAGAGCTGTTCCGACAGTGGAATAGCTGATGTCATCTTTTTAAGCAGCTTTTCTGGGAGAGAAAAAAAACAAAAACAAAACCAAACAAACCACAACCAAACAAACACAAAAAAAAACAAACCACCTGTTTCCAAAACCTGCAAGTGACCCCATAAAGAACAGAGTGCTCTTTGCTCTTCACTGTTCTTTGTACCATGGAGTTGGCACCTAAGATGTGTGTTCACACTCATCGTGTATTCCTGTGTATCGGGTCACTGCCTGTAAGTCGCAGGAGCAGACAGTTACTCAGAGGTGAAGGACTGGCTTCCCTGCAGTGACTCTGGTTCTGATGGCCATTGACAGAAAGTCCTACTGGACTTCCACACCCCTAGTTTTGAGGGAGCTGTGACTGAACCTGCCTACTCATCCTGCCTTTGCATAGTGCAAAACAGTAGGGCAGAATATGAACGCAGGAAGGGTAGGGTGTTTACAGTGGGACAGAAAGCAGGTGAGGAATTCAAATTAGGCGATGTGGAAGCCAGAATGTTGGGTCTAGACATAAACTCCAGTCAGTCACAAAAACTAATCTGGACAATTCGCTGCTCCAGGTAATTTTAGGCAGAGGTCCCTCTCTGACATTCTCCACGGCCTTTTTACCTGCTACTACAAAGAGTCAGCTGGCTGTAGTAAAGTTCTGTCTTCTCAAACACCAAACGAAACGTGCTGTAGGTAAATGGTGTTGCCATTTGTGGCACAAAAACCTGCCCATCCTCCAGCCCTGCCCGAGGTGCAGGTCCAGCTCCCAGAGGTGCTGCCTTTTGAATGGTATTGTGAGGGCAGCTTGTGCTGTGCTCACCAGTTCCACTACTTCTGCACTAGCACATCAAGCATCCAGAAGTGCTGGGAAGCGTTGGCTCTTTTTGTGCGTATTTACAAAGTTGTGGGACATTTTCGAGGATTTTCACATTCTGTTAATAATATCCTGTCTGTAGATTTAAGTGCATCCAGTCACTTCTTGCAGACTGCATGCTAGCACCGTGCTGCTGCGTGGGAACCAATAAATACAGCTACTTAATTTTGCTTTAGTTGATAAGTTAAATCAACAAAGTAAGTTAAAATTTTAAAATAGCTCAAATATTAATCCGAGGGTACTTGAGTGAAGGAAATAAAATGAGTTAGGGTGCTTGCATATCAATAAAATTCCAGATTGCCTCTGTAAAAAGATCTAGTGAACTCCAGGAAGTTCATTTCTAACATACTGGTGACTTATGGTCTCTTTCAGTTGTTGGATTTGAAGTGCCAGACAAATTTGTTGTGGGATACGCCCTAGATTACAATGAATACTTTAGAGATTTGAACGTAAGTAATTTTTCCCATATGTTTTTGTCCATTTAAAACTAGGGAGGAGAAAGGAAGGGAAGTCTCCCCACATCACTCCCTCCTCTGTAAATCGTGCCTCGTGTGCAGATCTGGTCCATTGGTGATGCAACTACAAGAGCAAACCCTAGAGCAGCAGGACAGCGTTTTGGAGCTCCCTTGAAACTGAAATTTATTCTGCTGCATGCAGAATGGAGGCTACACATCTCCTGTCAGCTTTGAAATAATGTGAAGTTTGTGTGAAGTTTCTTATCTTAACAGATGTCTACAACAAATAAGTATATTTGCTTAGTTAGGAGTTGGAGAAGAGAGACCTTGGAAGTTAAGAGGGGTTCACACTTTATCCTAAGTCATTAATTCTTCATCTGGGTCTCACCAGACCCAGCAGACACTGGGTGTAACAATTAGTGGGAGGAGAACGATGTCAGTTTGAGATTTTTAGACAGAGACAGAAGTTGTTCTGCATAAACACTATCACAAGATTCTTATTGGACTAAACTGTGTATAGCACATTTGTTTTTTTTTCAGAAGCACATTATTGACTATAGATGTAAAACATCAGTCTCTTACGTTACTCTTCTAACAGGAGCTTTTTATTTTATTTTGTTTCAGCATATCTGTGTGATCAGCGAGACGGGGAAGCAGAAGTACAAAGCCTGAAAGCACAGTTCAAGTGCTATGACAGCAGAGCTTTGAAATGTTTTGTTTACTGAGTCCTATCTTTCACAGGCTGCAACTCTGGTACACCAGCTAAAATTGTAGAATGCCCCAGCCCCATTGTCATATGCTTACTATAATTTATTGCATGTACAATATAAGAGCTCGTCTAGTTCATTTATATTTTAGAAATGTAAACAACTAGTGCAGTTCTGCACTCCTTATTTTGATTTGCACTATGACTCTGCTGACTATTGCTGCCCCTGGTTGGGTTGTGCTGTTTGTGAGCTCCTGAATCTAACTCTTGCAGTGGTAAATTCTTTAAACCTCATCAACCCGGAACTGAAATGGTTCAAGTACTGTAAATGTAAAACATTTTATGATAGGGAAGTCTATTAGTAATATTTTTTAAATCTGTAATTTAAGTTTTATATTTTAATGCACAGATGTGATTGTGATTAATGGATAGTTACATCTTTGGGTGTTACAAAGCATGAGGAGCAGCCAGTTACAGTATCTGTAATCTCCAAGGAGCTTATGCAGATCTCCTGGAGTTGCCTTATTGCTGTAAAGGAAGTCTGGGTGGAAAATGTTGTCTTTTTTTTTTTTTTTTTTAAAGGAGATGGAGTGACAAAATGTTTAAAATCAAGTTTTAGTTGGGCTGCCTGTTATTGTTGGGTTTTTTTTCCTCTCTAAAAATATCCATCAGTGAGTGGAATTGCCTTTTAAATTTAAACAATTTTAATATATTTGTGAAAAAGTATTGTAATGTTTACTTTATAAGATCTACAAAACAAAGTACTATAAATAAAGGCTGTCTCTTTAAAATAATCCCCATACATCTATGCCACTCATTCTGTATATTAAAAGGCTCTTGAAATTTTCTTCTTGGTAATAATTTCCCTAGGTGTTTCTGACAGTGAGGGCAGACTCTACAGTTTTTAATCTTTGTAGAGCTTTTGGTTAACGTTGTCCTGTCTACAAGAGAGATGATAAAGTGCTGAAGGAAATTACTGAAACACTTGCATTTTCTATAACCAAACTAGATTTCAGAGAAAATGGTTTAAGCACTGTCGTTTGTTCTGTTTTGGCAAAGAGTGTAGACTATGTGTTCATTAAATGTATACACGTGGGGAAGAAAACCCACAGCCATTTTGTAAGTAATCAGTTGGGTTTGTTTCAGTAACTCCTGTTCAGGTCCAGTTTATTTCTGAATGTGGCAGCCCATCTCACACCCTGTGATGTGCTTTTTGTCCCCTTAGCTTACATGGTTCTTGGACTTCTGCATGTGGATTCTTCCACTGTATGCTCTGATTTAACACTGCTCAGTGCTTCGTATGTAATGAAGTTTTTGCCAGCCAGGTTTGTAAGATCTGTCTGTGATTTTGAAGTTTCAGTCATGTTGCAATACTTTCTCGAGCACTACACGCTGTTGTCCATCCATGCTGTGCTCAGGTACAACTGTTAGTAGTTAGTAGCAGACTTAAAATATGAATAATGCACACAATGACTTTTGTAAATCAACATTCTCATGAACAAATATTAGAACACTGGTTGTGATTATACTGCACTTCTGCAATGTTATACTTAATGGTCCAAAGAGCTTTTTTTTTTCCTAAATGCACTACAACAACTGCTTGTGTTTCTCGATGTCCTAACTCATCTCTGTGTAGGTACCTTTTCAAGAACCTGTCCTGTCCCTGGGATGACTCGTTGCAAAACTACATGATGCGTCTCCAAGAAGAGAAAACACAAAGGCACATAGGAAAATGTAAACCCACTCAATAATTATTACATCCAGTCAAGTTTTCATGAGTTCTGGCTGAATTTAAGGTCTAATCTTAAAAAGTAGCGTTTCCTTCAGCCTTCTTAATGGTTCCTACTTCACAATGTGGTTTAAAATAAATTCATGGCAGCTAGAGATTACACTAGAGAGGTGGTGGCTTAGAAGTACCTATTTACACATGAAAATAATGAGAGTTGATGATGTTTGATATCTTTTAGGACTACATCCTTAAACGAGACTATCCTGAAATATTTTCCTGTCTTGAGACAGTTGTTTGGGAAAGGGGGGAGAGGCTGAGTTAGTTCTAACAAGGGCTTTGTCTTCCAGACACTAGTTGCAGCAGGGAGATGCTGGTGTGTTGTGGGTGTGGAATGGAACTGGGTGGACACCTGCACATGGTGTAATTGCAGAGGAGTTTTGGGAAGATACTCTTTGAGTTACACTGGCCCCAGGAGCAATGCTGCAAGAGCCCATGTCTGCCTTCTAAGAGACCTCACCTCTGTCTCCTGGAGAAGGTCAATATTAAAAATACCAAACTTTGATGTTCCCACATTTCAAGTACAGGGGAGCAGGCACTTTTGGTGGAGCAGGTCAGATGGAGTTTATCACCCCAGAGGGATTCCTCATCAAAAGCTTTTGCTTCTCCATGTGAAAAGTGTTCAGTTACCCACTCTCACTCTTACTAGAACAGTTCTAACACTCTACAGCCTTTTACAGCACCTGTGTGTGCACTACAGAAAGATAAATTCTCGCTTGAAAAGCATTGAAAATGTAATTGCTACTTTTTATTCAATAATTTTGGTTAAAGACTGGGGTCTTAGTAACATTTTTACAAGTTCAATGCCAGCTTTATGTAACCCAGGCATACATTGCTAAAGCGTTATGAAAGCACAGAGAAAATCTTGTGTTTGAATGTGGCATTTGAAATTCATTATAGTTCCACATTTTATGAATCACAAATGTATGCTGAAAAAATAATTTTGAATATTTATAGGCCTTACTGTACTGTTTCACCCTGTGACATCTGGCATTTCTGTACATTTTGATAACTCTTGACTGCTGCAGACCACTGACCTGGCTCGACTTCATATTGTAAATGTGAAGTCCTGGTTTGGAATGTTTATTCTTCATGCTTTAAATTCACACTGAGCAGAACCTAAAGTGCTCGAGACAGATCTGGGAGATGTGGTTTATGTGAATGGAGCTGGCAGTTCACCTGAGGGGGTGAATCTTGGTTTTCAAAATCTAGGCAAATGAGGATCTTTAAGTTGCCTTGTAATTGTATATCCTGACTGATTAAATGTTGGTGGTGTTTCATTGTCTGTTATGCTCTGAAAATCTTGTCAAGCATGCACCAATCCAGCAACGAGGACTTGACATGACTTAGGGAGAGCTGGCTACTCACAATTCATGAAAGGACTTCTGGCTGTGTGTGACTGCCTTGAACTCCCATGCAGGTCACACCTTGCAGGATCAGATCTCAGCTGTATGCAAGTACCTTTATAAGCAAGTGAGACATTGCAGGGGGCAGTTTGTTGTTTTTGTTGGTTGGTTGGTTGGTTGTTTTTTTTTTGTTTGTTTGTTTGGTTGGTTTTTTAGTGTTTGAGGACTTTATTTCATTTTACAAAGATGTAGTCTGATGACTATTCTGATGTGGAAGTTACTTCCTAGCTCTGTAAAGATGCCAGTACCTGCTAAGGTCATAGACATTGCAGATGCCAAGGAGAAGAGGGCAGGGCTAGAAAAGCACAAAGACTCAGCACAGTGTAAGACCTGGCAGTGCCGATTTTAATCCCTAGGGAAGCTGAGAAAGGGATCATGCTTGCAACTGCCAAGTGATAAAAGGCAAGGTGTGTGTTGGGGTACATCTGAATGGCTGCAAACATGGTTCTGTGTACAAGCTTTGCTCCAGGCTGTCAGCTCTGGTAAGATACCAGCTGGTGAACTGAACCATCTCAGAAGGTGGAAATCCTTACAGAACAGGGTAGGAGAGGCAGGCCTGTGATGGGGACTAAGTCAAGCTGCAGGTAGATTCATCTGTTCTAGTAAGAGGCTGATGATGTTTATCCAACAAATTATTATTGATAGCATCTTTATTTTTTCCCTCCACTATAATCAGAGAGGGAACCAACCATCTTGTATCTCCTGCATATCTCCAAGTTGCCTATAGTAAAATCACTGTGTGGGTGTAAGCTATAGCTTTGGGCATTAGGGGTGGGGGACTTGCCTCAGAGAGTCTGTGTCCTCCTACAGGTGCTGATTCCCACCCCTGCCCTTTACAAGTGCAGCCAGGCAAATACCCCAATAGATAGTGTCTCTGTGTATAAATAAGGAACTAGCCATTAAATATGGAACCGTCTCTTTCCAGCTCCAGCCCCAGGTCTGTTAGGTAGGATTCTTACAGCTGCCTAGTTCATCCATTCCCAGTTTACAGTCATGAAATCACAGGAGCACCGGTGGGAACGATACAGGATGCTTTTGACAGAGGCTTAGGCAGAATATAGTTCTCCCAAAAAATTTCTCTACAGCCAGCAGCAAAGTAACCCTCTTCGTTTCACCAGTTCCAGCCCTGAAGCCGGTGAGAGCATCGTGGGGCAGGCACGGCCGGCATGCAGCCCGTGAGGCAGCTGGAGCCGGGCTTACCCCGGGCACGGGGTGTGGGCTTAGCTGCCCTTCAGCCCGGAGGGGGTAAAGCCCTGTTCCTCGGGAACCGGCCTGGCGCTGGAGGAAAGGCGCTGCCCCTCCTGCGCTCTCTGCCGGGTAACCGGGGCCGGGAGCAGCGGTGCCGACGCTTCGCTTGCCTGTTTCCCATGGAGGAGCTGGGCCGTGCTACGGGCAGCCCCGCGGCAGCAGGGAGCAGGCCATGGGGGCGTGCAGGTGTGTGTTTTTGCATGTGCATCGCAGTGCCTTTATCAGATCTTTTCGCTTTCTTGCCAGTTTTTTTCCTCTTCCATTCACAAAATGCAAAGTACATAATAGCAATCGGAGGTTACAAAAGATGAGGTGGAAAGAACCTTTGCAGTGCAAAGTCCTTACACTTGCAGTTAGAAAAACCAGCTCATGCTTTCTAGTAAAGAGTAACACCAATCCCCTCCTGTCTAGCTGCAACTTCCACACCACCCAGTCCCCTCCCTGCCATCCCACCTTGGCTACCAGCTGCGCACACTCGAATCATTTATTTTCGGTATGAGGGGGAAGCTCTTTTCTCTTGCAGAGCATATGGCATGAGAACTCACTCTGGACAATTTATAAATGGATATATGCTCCAATAGAATCATATTTTGAGTAACCTTTAATAGGCTGTTCCTTGAACAGCACACAAGAATGGGTTTACATGAGAAATTGCCGAGAGCAATGGCTTACACTTTGCTTCAGAAATTAAAAGACTTGTATTTTCCTTCTATTTGGTGAATTTGTTGCCAAGAACCACTGAGTCATCAGGGTGCCAGCACCTTCATTTGCTCTGCTCATCATGCTCTTGATTTAGCAAACCCTTACTGGTGGAGTAGGTGAGCTGGCTTCTGCTTTGCCATGTGGCTACTACCTGCCACGTTTACTTCAGCCCAAAGAGATTTTTGGCTTTCATGCAGCTTTGCATCAGGGCTACTGGTGGCTTCCCAATAAGGGCAGCTGAATTACTGGGTACACAGAGGCACCTCACTTAGCTAGAATTACACTTGCTAAGAGAAAGCGAGACACATGAAGTGGTTTTTCCTCCTCGGTAATGCAAAGAGCAAGACCTGAACTTATTAACATCTAGCACTGGGAGCTGCTGTTGTGGAAGGCAATGCACAAGCACCTACAAAAGCCTGTCCTGGCTCGGAGCACCCTGCATGTGAGCTGAGGAAAAGCAGATGAGGTGGGTGGGCAAGAAGTGCAAGGAAAGCAAGATAATACTGGATACCACAATGAAATGCTAACCTTTGCCAAAAATTCCTTTTTACATCAAAGGAGGTGAGCAGGAAAATGCTGAAGGTAGATAAAGTGGCTTTTTGGGTTGCTTTTTCAGTGTTTACAGGAATCTGCAACACCTCACTTGGCTCCC